AGTCGCGGCTCGCGGATTATTCCGCGCTTAGTGATAGCAGACAGTCGCGGCTTGCGGATTATTCCGCGCTTGGTGATAGCAGACAGTCGCGGCTCGCGGATTATTCCGCGCTTGGTGATAGCAGACAGTCGCGGCTCGCGGATTATTCCGCGCTTGGTGATAGCAGACAGTCGCGGCTCGTGGATTATTCCGCGCTTGGATGCAAATGGGTTAATGGTCTCGAGTACATCCATAAAAGCGGTTTTCACATATATAACATTGCTACGCTTGTTTACATATAGAGGTTACTTTTATCATACGCTGTCTGATTGTACTTCTTTTCTCAGCAATCCGAAAGTAAGCGAAATGGAACGAAACAGAAATAAAGACTACGTATCCACGTATCCACAAAACGGGCACGTTTTGTTTCTTCAGAAGACAATAACACGACGAATAGAACATCGATTGACAATTCATTTTCTTCTCTATTTCCCTTCTGCCTTTAGTGCAACGTGTGCCACATGTCGATGGTTTTCCTCGGCGATTGGGTCATGTGAAGCCAGTGCTCTCTTCCCTGACTTCCTTCCGCTCCTCGAATCACTCCCGTCGCTGGACCAACGATACAGGAACCGACGATTACGTTTCCACCGATGAATTCGTTGCTCGAGTCCATCACACATACCTTGCAAAAAAAAAAAAATTAGTTCAGTTGTTTCATCTTTTTCTCTTTACTATATTTGGAGATGTTTCTCCGTTTGAAAATCGATGGGCATAGTGACTGATTTGATTGGTAAATTTCTGATTATCAAGTTCGATGCGTTTCTTAACTTAATATTACCCTCCTATTAATCGTGATAATGTTCGACTCGATATACAATGAATCGACGTTTGCTCGTAATTTTCAGAATGACAATTAGAAATTTCGAGGGAGGCGAATGTACCTTTTCTACTTCATTTTGATGGAACGCACGACACAATGATCCGGACAAACGATGAATCAGTCTAATTTAGCAGATAAGTGTTTGAAAAAGTAATCTCACTCTCATTCGCAGAAACTTAAAATGGTACACGCTGTTTTCAACGAAAAGTGACTCACATTGATTAGCATATTCCGCGAAGCGTAATCACGGGATAGAAAAGACAGCTAATACTGTTACACCTAATACTGTTTTAAATTTTCCAATTAGCTGGAATTTGCCTATTTTGCCTATCGTTCGATCGATTCCTTAGTCCAAGACGTTTGCGAACCACTGGTAACGTTTCTCGTTCATTTCGTGACAGTTTTCCTTGGAGGAGCTTCGCGAACATCCACGAAAACTCATCGATATTCAGCCTAGATTTGCTGTTCGGTTACGAGGATCGCTTGTACAGCTTTCATCTATTCCTTTAAGGGAGATTTCTTTCACATTCTCCTTCTTTTAGACAAGCTACGATTTCACAGTAAATAGATTTTCTATACAAGTAGTCTGAAGTTCTGTCGTTATTCGTTATTACTATAACACAACGTCTAGAGAAATTTAGAGCGTCTTTGCAGTGATGCAAGGCACATTTGGCAACTCCATTTGGCATCATTAATCTCTCTATATAACAGCAGGCTACTTTTAAATTTTCTCTAGTTTCAAGAGACGACGATCCTTTTTTATCTGGTAATTTTTTTTGCCACCGAGAATCTATTTCAATTGTGGGTCTACGTTCAGCTGGAGCTGTTTGACCAGAAAAAAAATCACTGTATTAAAATTGAATAAATATTTTTATTTTATATTACAGAAACAAAAAGAAAAAAACGAGAGATTGCTAAATAAATTAGTATTAAACTCAGATCCTTCTAAATCGCTGAATTATCGTCTTTCAATTTATTAATCAACGGATTAATCAATCTTCTTTATTTGTTGTCGCCCATAAATTTTAAATGGAATTGTGTATTAGCACGGACTGCAAAGTTTAAAACATAAATCTGTCACCGCTGGAAAGTCGCGCGTTCCGTTTGCATGCAAGGATGTAAAACATCGTTAGCAACTCTTGCGGACCGATGTACATTCGCGCAGGGGAAACAAATGAAAACGTATCGACGAAGAGTTGGATCCAATTCTTTCGAGATTGACACACTTTTTTTTTTGTAGGCGACCCTTCCATGCAGATCGATAATGATTTGTAATCGTCGGAATTCATTTGCAATCGTTCGCGAGGTTCGCGAGTTCTCGAGAACGAAGTTCGCGTTTTGTGTAAATGGCTACGGGAGAGTTTTCCTTCTTAAATATTCAATGGAAACGAAATGGAATCATCTCGCGTGTAAAATAACTCGATTCGATGTTTTTGAAAGATACGTCGAGGCAAAAGACTTCGTACTCGACGAAGTATATATATATATATATATATATATATATATATTGTAGTATCGAAATTATTACAATGTATAGTTATATTTTTAATAGATGGCCTGTTTGCGTGAACGAAAAATATGAATGTGATGTGAGAAGTACAGCTTTTCTTTTTGAAAAAGGAGACAGTCGTGCGAGTTGTAAAACAGCGTTGAATGAGTTTGGTCAAAAGATTGATCATTTTGTGTTGCATAAAAGAATTAATTGTGTCGTTGAGTTTATTGGAATTATTGCAATCTGTCTTGCTTTTATTATTTGTTGTTTTGTTTCCGTTTTCTTTATTACTTAATTGTTTATCTTGCTTTTATCATTTGTTGTTTTGTTTCCGTTTTTCTAACATAATAAACATCATTAAATTATATCTCTACAATATACATATGTATTTCGTGAAAAGTCCATAGACACATAGAAGTTAATTCTTCTAAAGGATCACTTATTGCGAGGGCACTTACTCGGAGCTAATATTTCTGGCAATGATTCTCAAGATAATACGAGGAACCCATTGCCCTTTAAAAATAATTTCCGAATAATTATTTCAGCAAATGAAACCGGATATTATTTTAAATCTATTGATTGCAATTAAGCTTCCACGGAAGCGAATTTAGGTCAAAGGAGGATAATTATCCTTTATCCTCCGATGCTTTGTTTAAACTACATTGATCAATATTAAACGCGACAGAATGTTATTGGAAAATGTTTTGAATTTGCGCGTGACAAATAATGTTCGACAGAGAGGCGAATAATAAATAACCATCGTATGTGACCGTTGCAGCTTCGCATCTTTTTCGATCGTGCTCGAGTTAAACAAAAATTCACACACGTACTAGTACTTGTCCAACGTGTACGTGCTGATTGCTAAAACAATGTTAACATTGTCCGAGTCGCTGAAAGTGGTCGCAAAATGTGTTCGATTTTTTCGTTAATGCGATTTTTATTTTAATTCCCTGACTTCGATGGTCGGGGGGGGGGGGAGGAGGGGAAGGAAGGGGAGAAAAAAGAGAGAAAAAGATTAGCAGACCGCGTTTCGCAGCATAAAATTTGAAAATTAAATTTTTTTTTCCTCGCGCCGGTGAAAATGCGATTTCCCTCCCCCTCTCTTGTCTCCCTGAGAGCTGAATAATGCAGTTCGAACGCTCACCCTCGTGGAATTTTGTTATGCATATCAATCCAGGCGAGCCGCTGATTTAAATAACGATTTCGAATAGAGAATCTGTCGACATCTGGCACGCGTGAGTGACAAAAGCGTTCTGCCTTGAGTCTAGCATTAAGAACCACTTTCGAGTTAATTCCACGAGTTGTGTGAAAAACAGAGCCTAACGATGGAGGCGTGACTTAAATCAGGCTCGAGTTATTATTATTCAAGTAGAGAATTCGAACAATTATTATTTAAATGACGCGCCATCTTATTATTTGATTCGACGACTTGCACGAACGACTCGAACGAGCAAAAGATTTCATTTCGTATTTTGTGCAATTTGTTTTTTTTATAAATAATTTTTCAAATAGTTTCTAATCCTGTTTCGTTCACATTGTTAGAATAATGTCTCACGTTCGCAAGTTACATAAATGTTCAAGAATAAATAATTCCTATTACTGCTAGTTTCCTTTTAAATTTCGAATGAAGCATCACTTATTCGCAAATAACTCATTTGATTCGAACGCGAGGATGAAATTGCTTTTTGTACCTGAAATAAAAAAATAAGAAAATAATAAAATGATTGAGTTATTTGGAACTGTTATTTTTTTTTTTTTTTTTTCATCTTCATCCCGAGCATTAAATTTGCCCAAATCCGACTTAACAATGTGATTTTAATACGTTTCGTTTGTCGAACGTAACGAGGGGAGATTAATTAATTGGAAATATATGAAAAGTTGAATGCGATACACTTGTACACAAATTAAATTATAAACGGATGAAACGATTCGACAGAATCTGTATGTTGTTCCAAGGGTCTTTGTGAAAGAGAAAAAAATGAAAATTTTGTGATCTCGTTGTAATTTGCCTCGATTTCACACGAAGGCGGAAAATTATAAATTATAATTCGGAAAGAGAGAGAAAAAAATCAAAATTGGATATATTTTCGTTTGGTTTGAATCACTCCTCTCGGACCAGATCGATATAATCATTATGAAATCGCGGTCTCATCCCCCCGACAATGCTTCTTATTTATCCGGGGCGACAGTCTGTGCATTAAGGTGAAACTGGTAGAGCTTGATTGAACATTAGACGTATATTTACCTCGATGGCCGATGACGCAAGATAGTTGGCAGGAACGTTAAAGGACATCGCCTCGTTCCAAACGGGGCTGGTCGTCGCTTTCCTCACAGCAGTTTTCTTCTTCTTCACCCTCTTCTCCCCGCAAAGGAGATTTACTTTCACGAAGGAATCTAAGGTTTCTTTGTCCTGCGTAAAACAATCGGACGCGGCACGTGGAATATTAAAACGCTCGAGTCGATCACTTTTCGTGACGCAAGCGAATGATAAAACAAGGGTAATTAATTTTAGATGACAATTAAAAAAAAAAAAAAAAAAAAAAAAAAAAAAAAAAAAAAAA